ATAGGGGGGGACGAGTGTGGTGCTGTGGTGCGAACTACTTATAAGTAGTATATAGCGTGAGTGTCAACGTAAAGTCTGGTAGCATAATATGGGGGGAAGATCAAGAAAGGAAGAGTCAGAAAACAATGGAATTTGTATGAAACGCATGAAGAGTGACAATGGATTGATGTTTGGCAACAGGAACAGTCCAGTTCCATAGGATGAACTGATCCTTTGCAAATGAACGATTTACGATATGGTTTTCCGATTTTACTGAGTAACTCTGTAATTTTCGTTAAATACAATTCGGTTGCCTCCACCTGTGTTCTCATTCACTACACTTGAACTCAATGACTTGTATGACGCATAGATATTCAGGGGCTTATTCGTACCAATGTTAATATCTTTAAATAAATACACATTAATTGTGATAGGCTTTGCGCAGTGATGACAATAAAATCCACATAGAAGACCGGATCAGCGGGTGAGTGGTGCGTTTTAGAGCATAGGTGCATGAATATGTGTACTGGTGAGATTTACACTAAAACTAAGTGATTTGATATATATTTCTAACTTGTTAAGATAAGATTTTGCGGTTATAAATCAGTGTAAAAATAACACATTTTTAAGCCCCCCCCCACAAAAAAGGATAGGAGTTAACCTGTCAGAAATTGCAGTATGATTTTAACACTCACTTAAGCAAGTCAAGCTCAAAGAGTTTGGGAAAAACTTCCAACAACCATTACAGTAAACGGATAGTGTTAATCTTTTAATACAACTGTTTATTCATGGCAAATATCAAATCTAAGCACAAACAAAGATACTATTCGGTCGCCGAATCTCAGCAAAGAACGATTGCGGCCGTTGGTTGATGTTCGATAGAGAACTTCAGCGTCTTTCTACAGCTAGAACTTATCTTTTTCAAGAATCAATGCTCAACCACAGAAGTACAATCTTCAGAGGAATATTTTTAGGATAAAACTATCAAATTAGTCCGTCATGGTCAGTCAGTCAGTCAGTCAGTCAGATGCAACGTAGAACTTCGTACGTAAGCACATCAGTTCATGTTGCCATACCACATCAGCACAGAGAAGTAATCGTCAATTCAAATCCAATAGTAGAAGAGGTAGTAAGGGAATTAGAAGTAATCGGAGAGGTTAGGATTAGAAGATACTATTCAAGAGGTATGATTCTGTGAGAAAAGTTTAGAGAGTCGAAACTAGAGGGGTTGAAGAATCCAGAAGATTAGGATTTGAGAGAACACAAAGAATAAATGCACCGGCGCCATTGCGAACGATTTTGAGCCATGTCATTCAAGGTCTCTAACCATCGGTAAGTATCATCTCGCGGACCCCAACCAGGTAGTCGACAATTACCGACATGGCTCAGTCCACTAGTCAATGACTTCATGGATTTCTGCCATGTTTTGGTCTGGCCGCCCCTAGCTTTCTTCCAACCTATTCCTACACTACAAAACAAGGCTCGACGAGGCAGTCGGTGGTTAGGCATACGCAACACATGTCCTAACCACCTCAACTGGTGAAGTTTCAATACTTCATCTATTGATCTGCCATTCTTACCTAGCACCCGATTCCTAATAACAGCGTTGCTCACTCGGGTGTCCCACGATATACGAGCAATGCTTCTTAAACATCTATGATCGAAAACCAATAACCGACGAGTATCTTCTACTCTCATTGGCCATGTTTCACAGCCATAAAGTAAGACGGAGCGAACCACTGCGCAGTACACTCGTCCTTTAGTCAGCAAACGGATATCTCGCCTACGCCATAAGTGACGCAGGTTGGCAAAAGCCAATCGAGCTTTCTGTATCCGTGCTGAGATTTCGTCAGTCACCAGGCCATCGGCACTGATGAGACTACCAAGATAAGTGAAGCGGTCTACACGTTCGACTACTTCACTCCCTATCACTAGTTCAGGTGCCGATGCAACCCAGTCTTGAAGCAACATTTTGCATTTCGAGGGGGAAAACCGCATCCCGAACATGCTTGCATTGTTGCTTAGGGTAGTCAGAAGACTCTGCATTTCGTCAGCGTCTTCACCAAGTAGGACAATGTCATCGGCATATTCTAAGTCAATAAGCGAGCCACCTGGTAGAAGGTCTACTCCTGAAAATTCAGACGAGGATAATGTTATGTCTAGGAGCATGTCTATGATAAAATTAAATAAGAATGGAGAAAGTGGACAACCCTGACGGACACCACTTGAAGTAGAGAATTCCGGTGACAGTTCGCCATAAGCCCTCACTCGACCAGTGGTGTTCGAGTAAAGAGCTTGTATAAGGTTAATGTACTTCTTTGGTACACCTTTCAATGACAGACACTGCCAGAGAACCTCACGATCCACTGAGTCGAATGCCGCCTTAAGATCCAGGAAAACAACTATTGTAGGACGCCTAAATGTGTGTCTATGTTCCAGGACCTGTCTGAGTGTGAAGACGTGGTCTATACAGCCACGTCCAGGTCGAAAACCAGCCTGGTTTTCTCGAGTCTGCTCTTCACGAGCTTTCGTTAAGCGTCGAAGTATTACTGAGGCCAGTATTTTAGATACTATATTAGTTAGACTTATTCCCCTGTGATTGTCACAAGAAGACTTTTGTCCTTTCTTATAGATTGGGACAATCAAGGATTGAGACCAGTCGGATGGGATTGCGTCCAGTTCCCAGATTCTACCTAAGATCTCAGTCAACCTAGCTGCTAAAACTGGACCACCATCCTTAAATATCTCAGGGGTCAGTCTATCAGGACCTGCAGCTCGTCCTCGTTTCAGATTTCCTAACGCTTTCTCAACTTCATTAAGACTGGGGGGACTTGCGTCGATTTGCCATTCAGGATGACTGGAGATCGTGGGTAACCGAAGAGTGGCTCGTGGCCAGTTGAACTGATCCCTAAAGTGTTCTGCCCATCGATCCAGTCTCCTGCATTGAGAATGGATAATAAGACCATCCTTTTCTGAAATAGTTTCACTCACAGTTGGGTTCCTAATACCAGTTTCCTTGATGAGTCTAAATAGTTGCCTACTGTTGCCTATCGCCGCTGCCTTTTCCATCGCTTTTGCTTTCGCCACCCACCACTGTTCACGGTCGTTACGTAGGCTTTTTATAAGTCTGCGCCTAAGTTGACTACGCTCTTCATCATGTTCAGAGCCAGGTGGGATGAGTTTTCGGGCATCCATCAGATCGGTGGATGCTACTGAGATCCACGGCTTCATTCTAGCCTTATGGTCAACCTTACTAGCAGATATCACTGCTGTTTCCACAGCCTTTTTGATATCATACCAACCTGCTTCTGGATGGGAATCGCTTGCATGGTTGCTTAACTCTCTTTCTAGTTGCTCCTGAAATATTTTCTTGGTTTGATTATCATTAAGTAAAACCCTAAGAGGCTTTCTTACGGTGTCTTTCCTACGTCCAGTAAGCCTTAAGCAGATACGAGCTCGAACTAGAGCATGATCTGAATCCAAACATGTGCCCCAGAACGAGTCCGTCATGGAGAAGTAGTTACACACTTATTCTACCATAGAGAAAGCATCATAGTGATATATGCTAGGAACTTAAACTAAACGGCTGAGAAAGATTTCGGAAACCCCTAACAAAATGACAGATCTTGAAGAATTCACATAATGACGCTTTGAATACGATCAATAACCAAGACAATGTACATGCAGACATCCAAAGAGCTTAATGCAATGATCTTAACCAGCAGTGAGCAACAGGAAAACAGAAGAGAAGAGAAGTAATACGAGGCAGCTGTTAATGACACCGTCGATGCTTTTAAAGTAATCGAGTAACCCAATACCAAGTACAAACTAGTAAACGAAACTAAAATTCACGCTCCAGGAGTGAACGTTAGTAACATTGCCCGGTAGTAAAGCTGAAACAACAATTAGAATCTGAAATTCAGTGGCTGGAAATCGAGTCATTACACTACTGTACCATAATAAAAATAAACAAAACTTACGTAATCAGATCAGTGACTTGTTTCACTAAAACTCCACGAATTTCAGCTAGTTTCGGATTTTGTTCCGTAACAAATTTTGTTACAAATTGATCATATTGAATCATAACAGGTGTCAGAAGAACACGAAATAATTCACCAACACGATCTACCCCACCACCACCACCACCACCATTTGTAGTTAGATGATCAGGCGGCTGAAGAATTCCACCGGCAGCGATTAATTGTGCTGCTGCTTCATACAAGAAACCTTGTTCAGTAATGCCTAGACCGGTTTTACCAGATTTCCCAATATTCATTGTATCATCACAACAACCATTGACAAAGCTAACATTACCATTCAACTGGTCACCATTTAATAATAAAACACTACAATCTGGTTCTAATGATAATTCTAATAAGTCGGAGAAACGTGATAAATATCCTTCGATATGTGGAAGCAGAGTTTTTCTACAGTGAGTGGATAAGAAAAATAATCAAGAGTTATGAAGATTAGTATTTGTACACACAATGAAATCATCAAACAATGAAACGTTGTAAGATCACCATTAGAAACTTGGAGGTGGCACTGAAAGACGGCTGTTTTTTTTACCTCGTTATGGGAAAATATCGTACAATGTTCTCTCACTAGTGACTGACTACCCAGCTTCGTGAGGAAACTTTCCAAGTTCTAGTGAGAAGACAAAGTGTGTGGAGTTCCATCCTGTCGGATGTATTGTGATGAATAGTGAAGTAAACTAAGTGATATTCTCTCTGTTTCATATGACAGTTAAAGCAATCTATTATGAAGAGCAAGATGACACAACCGCACGCTGACCCTGTAAGTAATAACCGCAGGTTCTTCAAACCACTTATACAGGAGAATAATGTAAACACCTCTACACCGCTCAAATTTCCATATTTGCGGATATCTGCCATCAAACCTCCCTAACAAACGTACTCATTCTATACAATTCACATACATTTTCATCCTTCGTAACCGGAAAGAACATTTTCTATCACATATAATATTCACATGACGATATTATTATCGTCCCATGCTCTTAATATCTTCACTGAAATATCAAGCCTACCCATATATTCTTGTTTAAGTTTTCATGCTTATCACTTTGACTACAGTTATTCATATTGAAAATATTCATCTGTAAAGTGATTCTTGATAACGCTTTTATTAGGATCATTCGTGTCTGATTGCAATGAATTTTCTTCAGCACTGTGACCTTCCACGGTGTGGGCAGCCGGGAAGTGACAACCGCCCTCATACCCGTAACCGCACGAGACACCAAATCGGTCAAAATCAAATCCTTCCTACACTATTGGATTTGAATCGACCATCACATCTCTGTGCTGATGTGGTATGGCGACATGAGTTGATGTACTTACGTACGAAGTTCTACGTTGCAACTGACTGACTGACTGACTGAAGACAAATTGGTGATGTCGCGCAAAATCCCTAGATTGATCAGAATTAGACATTAACACCTATGCATGCCGGTCTAGTGGTCCTGAGGTTAGGTGCTTTTGCGCAAGACCGCAGGTCATGTATTTTTGTTATAAATAGTCAAAAATTAATGTTATTTCACCAAATATCCTAAGAGTACTATTTTTGGAAGTATAATCCTATTGGTTAAAAATATGGTCGTTTTAACTGTCAAAGTCAAATACTTCAATGTTGGTCATCCGGACCGTCAATGTCACAGACTTCGATGCTCTTTCCTATTCGACCTAAATGTATAAATAAGCATTATCTGTAAGACTATATGATTCCGTCCCTGCTGCCTACCAACTCTTCTGTACTCGACCCAATAAACAACTCCATCCAACGGTGTTGTGTTTTGATATATAGGAGATTTGGGAATAGTATCTGGGTCGTATTGGAAGATTTGAATTCGGACGTCGGTATGATTTGAATAGCTACGTAGCAGCATTATGATACTCACCGGATTAATGTACTTAGGTTTGAGTTATGACTTTTTCTATGTGACAGGTTAGTGATACACTGTTATTCAGTTGGTTAAATTAACAATAGATAGGAATTTGAGCCAGTGACAATTTTTATAAGGAGCTAAATGTATTCATTCATAACTTATTAGCATTTCAAATGTATAGAAAATATTATTAGTAGGATTTCCAGAATAAAACTTATAAGACTACGGATATGAAACAGCAATTGACAAATGATGAAACCCAGGATTAAATCAAAGAAAAACAGTAAATCAATCTGTTCCAGTGTGTGACTGATGACAAATAATGTTACCCAAAAACACCGACAGTCAGTCAGTCAGTCAGTTAATTACAATGTAGAACTTCGTGCGTGCATACATCAGTTCAGGTTGCCATACCATGTTAGCACGCAGAGACACAATTATCACTTAAAATCCCATAGATGTATAGGTGGTGGAAGTATTAACAGTAATCGGAGAAATTATGGCTCAAAGATATTATTTCAGAAGTAGAATCTAGTGAAATAAACTTAAATAGAAAAAGATAAAGGTGATGCAGAATACAGAGGACTAGAATTAGGGAGAACATAAAGAGTGAATGCACTTGCGTCATTGCAAACGATTTTCAGCCATGTCATACAAGGCCTCTTACCAGAGGTTACTATCATCTTTCGGACCTCAACCAGGTAGTCTACACCTACCTACAAGCATGGCTCAATCCACTTGTCAGTGACTTCATGGACTCGTGTCATATTTTGGATTGGTTGCCTCTAGATTTCTTCCAACCTACTCCTACACCACAAAACATAACTCGTCAAGGCAGTCAGTGATTAGGCATAGGTAACACATGTCCCAATCACCTCAACTAATGATGATCTGACATCCACAACTAGTACCCGTTTCTTAACAACAGCATTGTTTACTCAATAGTCCCAAGAGCGGAGCTAACACTTTAAAAACTTCCCGCAAAGAGATCGTGCGTGACCGACCTCAAGCAGGTATCCCTTGGGCTTTGCAAGCACGCTCTCAGACGGCTCAGACCAACGCTAACCGGATTTCCTTTACAGATTCCTCAAGAAGTATCCTTCCACGATGTCGGCAGCAGGGAAGTGACAACCACCCTTATACCCGTTAAAAGCACAATAGACCATATCAAATCATGGTTATAGCACGTATTAATCTAGCTTAGTCTAACAATCAATGAGTTTATGAACTGATGCCATATATTTGCTGTGGCCATCTTACTTTATATACATATATATATTCCGACGAAAGACAATTTTCAGTGAAGAATAACAGATTAAACATCCGCCATCATTGTGTCAAGTATCATAACGAAACATTCGAGATTCAACCAATTACATTTTCTACTTAATAGAATTATAAAATTGAATTATAAAATAAATCTATATATGCTTCATATTAAAACTACATTAATCTTTTTTTTAAAAAAATCTATTCTAAGCTATTAATATTTAGGAGAGAAGCGAAAAAAAACTAAGAAACATGTTGGTGTTGCTGTTGTTCATGGACAATTATTTCTGACTGATATCGATTTGTGAACAGGTAAACAACAGATGAAGAACAGAAAATTACGCAATAGAACACACACAAAGTACAATAGTTTCATTAAGTACAAATGAAAAAAGAAGCTTTTTCATAAAATTAATGCTTACTTGTGTGATTTTATAATACGATTAATTAGATAAGCGCATCGTATTCTAACACTATGCCATGGACTATGCAAACCTCGTTCATCAACAAATGCAAGCTAAATGGAATTTCAATGAGGAATAAAAAGACAAAATGATATATTTTTAAAAAAAGTAAATTGAAACCATACTGTGTTAGGATATTCGCCAAATATCCTAAGAGCACTATTTTTGCAAGTATAATCCTATTGGTCGATTTCTATTGTTCAAAATTATGGTCGTTTTAACTGTCAAGGTCAAATAATTCAATGTTGTTTCTTATTGGTCATCCGGACTGTCATTGTCACTTCAAATATTGCTTCCTATTGGTCGTCTTAACTGTCAATGCCATAGAATTCGATGCTCTTTCCTATTCAACCTAAATGTATAAATACTCAATATCTGTAAGACTTCATGTTTTCCGTTCCTTCCTGCCTACTTCTCTTCTGTACTCGACCCAACTCTATCCAACGGTGTTGCGTTCTGATATATATAGGAGATTTGGGAATAGTATTTTGGGTCGTATTGGAATATTTGAATTTGGATGCCGCTAGGACTGAATAGCTAGCTATACGTAGCAGCATTATAACACATACATCACAGGCAATGGTCTTTGTTTGTTGATAAATTATCGGTTAATCCATAGTAGTATTGAAAATTTCGATGCTACCATAATTACGGCTACATTATTCTAGACGTGAATTGATTCATCTGAGAGAAAAAGGTGACATTTTCACTAACAGATCAGATCAGATGCAACGTAGAACTTAGTACGTAAGTACATCAGTTCATGTCACCATACCACATCAACACAGAGATGTAATGTCAATTCAAATCCATTAGTAGAAGAGGTAGTAAAGGTAATGGAAGTAATTGGAGAGGTTAGGATTAGAATATATTATTCAAGAAGTATGATTCAGTGAAATAAGTTTAGAGAGTCGAAACTAGAGGTGTTGAAGAATCCAGAAGATTAGGATTTGAGAGAACACAAAGAATAAATGCACCGGCGCCATTGCAAACGGTTTTGAGCCATGTCATTCAGGGTCTCTCACCATCGATTATTATCATCTCGCGGACCCCAACCAGGAAGTCGACAATTACCGACATGGCTAAGTCCACTCTTCAATGATTTCATGGATTTCTGCCGCGTCTTGGTCTGACCGCCGCTAACTTTCTTCCAACCTAATCCTACACCACAAAACATAGCTCGTCGAGGAAGTCGGTGGTTAGCCATACGTAACACATGTCCCAACCACCTCAACTGGTGATGTGTCACTACTGCGTCTATTGATCTGCCATTCTTACCTAGCACCCGATTCCTAATAACAGCGTTGCTCACTCGGGTGTCCCAAGATATACGAGCAATGCTTCGAAGACACCTATGATCGAAAACCGATGACCGGCGAATATCTTCTACTCTTAACGGCCATGTTTCGCATCCATATAAGAAAACGGAGCGAACTGCTGCGCAGTACACTCGCTCTTTAGTCAGCAAACGGATATCACGTCTACGCCATAAGTGACGTACTAACAATAAACAATTGAAGGTCACTTAGTTTTTATCAAACCGTAAGAAGTTGGTCAACTAGTGAGTGAGTCATACATAAATGTATAACTTGGCACTTATGTGTATCAGTTCAATTTGTCACACCATTCACTACTTTACAACAACACAGTGAGATGCCAGAGTAGTAAACGTAGCAACAGCATTGATGATAGAAGAAATGAAAACAGATATAGTCAGCGAAAACAATAATAATGGCTATAATAATCATGCGGATCCCAATCGGACAGTTTACACCTACCTACATGGTTCAGTTCGACTGTTAATAACTTTACTGACTGAAACTATGTTTTGTTTTGGACATTCCTAGCTTTTCTTAAACGTACAACTAAACCAGGACGCTTTGAAGTAGACAGTGGTAGAATGAGCACACGTAATATTAGGTGATGAAGATTCACTACCTCATCAATCCATTTGCCATGGTTACCTAGTACCTTTACTCTAATCTTCTCCATTACTAGTAATACTTCTACTGTGTCTACCACTATGGGATTTGAATTGACAATTGCACCTCCGTGTGTGTTAATGTAGTATGTCAACCTGAACTGATGTACTTATGTACAAAGTTCTACGTTGTAACTATTGACTGACCTAGTGCCTTGCATCTATGGTCTGATACCAATAGTAACTACAGAATATCATCCTTTTACAAACTATGTGAAACAGAGTGAACTACCGTGCAGTATACTTGTAGTTTAGTAAGAATACCGGAACGTAGCCTTCCGCTACAAGTTATGTAAGCTAGCAAAAGTAAACTGTGTTCTGAATCCATACTAAGATTTCGTCAAACACTGACATACAAAAAACACTGACAAGAACTCCAAGTTAACAACTGGTGAGATTTCCTTTTCAATTTTCAATAGATTTATTCAAAAGACTGTGAAATAAATAACAGTTTATATTCCTAAGGCAATGGGAATGGAAACAGTTGAATCGTGGTCACTTTTCAACAAAATCATAATAAGTGAAGTTCAACTTGTACTATAGGTTGTTACATTCATTGCATAGGTTAATTGCATGTGATTGGTTATATATACAATTTCTTTTATGATGATGAATAAATATTTTTATTTGCTTTAAAAGTCAGTCAGATGGAACGTAGGACTTCGTATGTAAGTACATCAGTTCATGTCGCCATACCACATCAGCACAGAGATATAATTGTCAACTCAAATCCAATAGTAGAAGAGGTAGTAAGGGTATTAGAAGTAATCGGAGAGGTTAGGATCAGAAGATATTATCCAAGAAGTATGATTCAGTGAGAAAAGTTTAGAGAGTCGAAACTAGAGGTGTTGAAGAATCCAGAAGATTAGGATTTGAGAGAACACAAAGAATAAATGCACCGGCGCCATTGCAAACGATTTTGAGCCATGTCATTCAAGGTCTCTAACCATCGATTATTATGATCTGGTTGGGGTCCGCGAGATGATAATAATCGATGGTTAGAGACCTTGAATGACATGGCTCAAAATCGTTCGCAATGGCGCCGGTGCATTTATTCTTTGTGTTCTCTCAAATGCTAATCTTCTGGGTTCTTCAACACCTCTAGTTTCGACTCTCTAAACTTTTCTCACTGAATCATACTTCTTGAATAATATCTTCTAATCCTAACCTCTCCGATTACTTTTAATACCTTAACTACCTCTACTATTGGATTTGAATTGACAATTATATCTCTGTGCTGATGTGGTATGGCGACATGAACTGATGTACTTACATACGAAGTTCTACGTTGCATCTGACTGACTTTTAAAGCAAATAAAAATATTTATTCATCATCATAAAAAAAAATTGTATATATAACCAATCACATGCATTTAACCTATGCAATGAATGTAACAACCTATAGTACGAGTTAAACTTCACTTATTATGTTTCTGTTGAAAAGCGACCACAGTTCAACTGTTTCCATTCCCATTGCCTTAGGAATATAAATTGTTATTTATTTCACAGTCTTTTGAATAAATCTATTGAAAATTGAAAAGGAAATCTCACCAGTTGTTAACTTGGATTTCTTTTCAGTTTTTTTTGTATATCAGTGTTTTGACGAAATCTTAGTATGGATTCAAAACACAGTTTACTTTTGGTAGCTTTACATAACTTGTAGCGTGGGCTATGCTCCGGTGTTCTTACTAAACTACAAGATACTGCACGGTAGTTCACTCTGTTTCACATGGTTTGTAAAAGGATGATATTCTGTAGTTACTATTGGTATCAGACCATAGATGCAAGGCACTAGGTCAGTCAATAGTTACAACGTAGAACTTTGTACATAAGTACATCAGTTCAGGTTGACATACTACATTAACACACACGGAGGTGCAATTGTCAATTCAAATCCCATAGTGGTAGACAGAGTAGAAGTATTACTAGTAATGGAGAAGATTAGGGTCAAGGTACAAGGTAACCATGGCAAATGGATAGATGAAGTAGTGAATCTTCATCACCTATTATTACGTGTGCTCATTCTACCACTGTCTACTTCAAATCGTCCCTGGTGTAGAGTTGTACGTTCAAGAAAAGCTAGGAATGTCCAAAATAAAACTTAGTTTCAGTCAGTAAAGTTATTGACAATCGGAGTGAACCATGTAGGTTGGTGTAAACTGTCCGATTGGGATCCGCATGATTATTATAGCCATTATTATGTTTTCGCTGACTATATCTGTTTTCATTTCTTCTATCATCAATGCTGTTGCTACGTTTACTACTCTGGCATCTCACTGTGTTGTTGTAAAGTAGTGAATGGTGTGACAAATTGAACTGATACACATAAGTGCCAAGTTCTACATTCATGTATGACTCACAAGTTGACCAACTTCTTACGGTTTGATAAAAACTAAGTGACCTTCAATTGTTTATTGTTAGTACGTCACTTATGGCGTAGACGTGATATCCGTTTGCTGACTAAAGAGCGAGTGTACTGTGCAGCAGTTCGCTCCGTCTTACTTTATGGCTGTGAAACATGGCCGTTAAGAGTAGAAGATATTCGTAGGTTATTGGTTTTCGATCATAGGTGTCTTCGAAGCATTGCTCGTATATCGTGGGACACCCGAGTGAGCAACGCTGTTATTAGGAAACGGGTGCTAGGTAAGAATGGCAGATCAATAGACGCAGTAGTGACACATCACCAGTTGAGGTGGTTGGGACATGTGTTGCGTATGCCCAACCACCGACTGCCTCGTCGAGCTTTGTTTTGTAGTGTAGGAATAGGTTGGAAGAAAGTTAGGGGCGGCAGAAATCCATGAAGTCATTGACGAGTGGACTTAGCCATGTCGGTAATTTTCGACTACCTGGTTGGGGTCCACGAGATGATAATAATCGATGGTTAGAGACCTTGAATGACATGGCTCAAAATCGTTTGCAATGGCGCCGGTGCATTTATTCTTTGTGTTCTCTCAAATCCTAATCTTCTGGGTTGTTCAACACCTCTAGTTTCGACTCTCTAAAGTTATTTCACTGAATCATACTTCTTCAATAATATCTTCTAACCCTAACTTCTCCGATTACTTCTAATACCCTTACTACCTCTACTACTATTGGATTTGAATTGACATTACATCTCTGTGTTGATGTGGTATGGTGACATGAACTGATGTACTTACGTACTAAGTTCTACGTTGCATCTGATCTGATCTGTTAGTGAAAATGTCACCTTTTTCTCTCAGATGAATCAATTCACGTCTAGAATAATGTAGCCGTAATTATGGTAGCATCGAAATTTTCAATACTACTATGGATTAACCGATAATTTATCAACAAACAAAGACCATTGCCTGTGATGTATGTGTTATAATGCTGCTACGTATAGCTAGCTATTCAGTCCTAGCGGCATCCAAATTCAAATATTCCAATACGACCCAAAATACTATTCCCAAATCTCCTAGATATCAGAACGCAACACTGTTGGATGGAGTTGGGTCGAGTACAGAAGAGTAGGCAGGAAGGAACGGAAAACATGAAGTCTTACAGATAGTGAGTAATTATGCATTTAGGTTGAATAGGAAAGAGCATTGAAGTCTGTGACATTGACAGTTTAGGACGACGACCAATAAGAAAGAACATTTGAATGACATTGACAGTCCGGATGACCAATAAGAAACAACATTGAATTATTTGACCTTGACAGTTAAGACGACTATCTTATCTTTTTGACCAATAGGATTATACTTCCAAAAATAAGTATCCTTAGGATATTTGGTGAATATCCTAACACAGTATGGTTTCAATTCTTTTTTTTTAAAAAGAAGTATATCATTTTGTCTTTTTCTTCCTCATTGAAATTCTATTTAGCTTGCATTTGTTGATGAACGAGGTTTGCATAGTCCATGGCATAGTGTTAGAATTCGATGCGCTTATCTAATTAATCGTATTATAAAATCACACAAGTAAGCATTAATTTTATGAAAAAGCTTCTTTTTTTCATTTGTACTTAATGAAACTATTGTACTTTGTGTGTGTTCTATTGCGTAATTTTCTGTTCTTCATCTGTTGTTTACCTGTTCACAAATCGATATCAGTCAGAAATAATTGTCCATGAACAACAGCAACACCAACATGTTTCTTAGTTTTTTTTCGCTTCTCTCCTAAATATTAATAGCTTAGAATAGATTTTTTTAAAAAAAAGATTAATGTAGTTTTAATAGAAGCATATATAGATTTATTTTATAATTCAATTTTATAATTCTATTAAGTAGAAAATGTAATTGGTTGAATCTCGAATGTTTCGTTATGATACTTGACACAATGATGGCGGATGTTTAATCTGTTATTCTTCACTGAAAATTGTCTTTCGTCGGAATATATATATGTATATAAAGTAAGATGGCCACAGCAAATATATGGCATCAGTTCATAAACTCATTGATTGTTAGACTAAGCTAGATTAATACGTGCTATAACCATGATTTGATATGGTCTATTGTGCTTTTAACGGGTATAAGGGTGGTTGTCACTTCCCTGCTGCCGACATCGTGAAAGGATACTTGTTGAGGACTCTGTAAATGAAACGCGGTTAGCGTTGTTCTGAGCCGCCTGAGAGCGTGATCGTAGAGCCCAAGGGATACCTGCTTGAGGTCGGTCATGCACGATCTCTTTGCTGGAAGTTTTTAAAGTGTTAGCTCCGCTCTTGGGACTATTGAGTAAACAATGCTGTTGTTAAGAAACGGGTACTAGTTGTGGATGTCAGATCATCATTAGTTGAGGTGATTGGGACATGTGTTACGTATGCCCAATCGCTGACTGCTTTGAGGAGCTATGTTTTGTGTTGTAGGAGTAGGTTGAAAGAAGGCTAGGGGCAACCAATCCAAAATATGACACGAGTCCATGAAGTCACTGACAAGTGGATTGAGCCATGTTGGTAGGTGTAGACTACCTGGTTGAGGTCCGCAAGATGATAGTAATTTCTGGTTAGAGGCCTTGTATGACATGGCTGAAAATCGTTTGCAATGAGGCAAGTGCATTCACTATTTGTGTTCTCTCAAATCCTAGTCTTCTGGTTTCTTCAACACCTCACCTTTTGTTTAGCTAAACCTATCTCACTGAATTATACTTCTTTGATAATATCTTGGAACCATAATCTCCTTAACCGTTAATACTTTTGCTGTCTCTACCACTATGAGATTTTAAGTGTTAATTGTGATGCGTGCTAACATGGTATGGTAACCTGAACTGATGTTCGTAAGTACGTACGAAGTTCTAAATTGTAATTAACTGACAGACTGACTGATAACAATGATTAGCGGTTGGTGACTTTGGGTAACATTATTTATAGTCAGTCACACATTGGAACAAATTAATTTACTATTTTTCTTCGATTTGATCCTGGGTTTCATCATTTGTCAATTGCTGTTTCATATCCCTAGTCTTATAAGTTTTATTCTGGGAATCCTACTAATAATATTTTCTATTCATTTACAACGCTAATAACTTATGAATGAACACATTTAGCTCTAAATAAAAATAGTCACTGGCTCAAATTCATATCTATTGTTAATTTAACCAACCGAATAACAGTGTATCACTAGCTTGTCATATAGAAACAGTCATAACTCAAACCTAAGTACATTAATCCAGTAAATGAGTGTTATACTGCTGCTCCTTAGCTATTCAAATCCTACCGACGTCCGAATTCAAATATTCCAATACGACCCAAATACTATTGCCAAATCTCCCAAATATATCAAAACACAACACCGTTGAATGGAGTTGTTTATTGGGTCGAGTACAGAAGAGAGATAGGCAGGAAGGGACGGAATCATGAAGTCTTACAGATAGTGCGTATTTATACATTTAGGTCGAATAGGAAAGAGCATCGAAGTCTTTGACTTTGACAGTCCGGATGACCAACATTGAAGTATTAGACTTTGACAGTTAGAACGACCATATTTTTGACCAATAGGATTATACTTCCAAAAATAGTACTTTTAGGATATTTGGTGAAATAACATTAATTTTTGACTATTTATAACAAAAATACATGACCTGCGGTCTTGCGCAAAAGCGCCTAACCTCTGGGCCACTAGACCGGCATGCATAGATGTTAATGTCTAATTCTGATCAATCTAGGGATTTTGCGCGACATCACCAATTTGCCTTCAGTCAGTCAGTTGCAACGTAGAACTTCGTACGTAAGTACATCAGTTCATGTCGCCATACCACATCAGCGCAGAGATGTGATTGTCAATTCAAATCCAATAGTGTAGGAAGGATTTGATTTTGACCGATTTGGTCTCTCGTGCTGTTACGGGTATGAGGGCGGTTGTCACTGACCGGCTGCCCACACCGTGGAAGGTCACAGTGCTGAAGAAAATTCATTGCAATCAGACACGAATGATCCTAATAAAAGCGTTATCAAGAATCACTTTACAGATGAATATTTTCAATATGAATAACTGTAGTCAAAGTGATAAGCATGAAAACTTGAACAAGAATATATGGGTAGGCTTGATATTTCAGTGAAGATATTAAGAGCATGGGACGATAATAATATCGTCATGTGAATATTATATGTGATAGAAAATGTTCTTTCCGGTTACGAAGGATGAAAATGTATGTGAATTGTATAGAATGAGTACGTTTGTTAGGCAGGTTTGATGGCAGATATCCGCAAATATGGAAATTTGAGCGGTGTAGAGGTGTTTACATTATTCTCCTGTATAAGTGGTTTGAAGAACCTGCGGTTATTACTTACAGGGTCAGCGTGCGGTTGTGTCATCTTGCTCTTCATAATAGATTGCTTTAACTGTCATATGAAACAGAGAGAACATCACTTAGTTTACTTCACTATTCATCACAATACATCCGACAGGATGGAACTCCACACACTTTGTCTTCTCACTAGAACTTGGAAAGTTTCCTCACGAAGCTGGTAGTCAGTCACTAGTGAGAGCATATTTTACGATATTTTCCCATAACGAGGACAGAAACGGCCGTCTTTCAGTGCCGCCTCCAAGTTTCTAATGGTGATCTTACAACGTTTCATTGTTTGATAATTTCATTGTGTGTACAAATACTAATCTTCATAACTCTTCATTATTTTTCTTATCCACTCACTGTAGAAAAACTCTGCTTCCACATATCGAAGGATATTTATCACGTTTCTCCCGACTTATTAGAATTATCATTAGAACCAGATTGTAGTGTTTATTATTAAATGGTGACCAGTTGAATGGTAATGTTAGCTTTGTCAATGGTTGTTGTGATGATACAATGAATATTGGAAAATCTTGTAAAACCGGTCTAGGCATTACTGAACAAGGTTTCTTGTATGAAGCAGCAGCACAGTTGATCGCTGCTGGTGGAATTCTTCAACCGCCTGATCATTTAACTACAAATGGTGGTGGTGGTGGTGGGGTAGATCGTGTCGGTGAATTATTTCGTGTTCTTCTGACACCTGTTATGATTCAATATGATCAATTTGTAACAAAATTTGTTACGGAACAAAATCCGAAATTAGCTGAAATTCGTGGAGTTTTAGTGAAACAAGTCACTGATTTGATTACGTAAGTTTTATTTATTTTTATTATGGTACAACAGTGTGATGGCTCGATTTCCAGCCACTGAATTTCAGATTCTAATTGTTGTTTCAGCTTTGGTACCGGGTAGTGTTACTAACTTCCACTCCTGGAGCGTGAATTTTAGTTTCGTTTACTAGTTTGTACTTGGTATTGGGTTACTCGATTACTTTAAAAGCATCGACGGTGTCATTAACAGCTGCCTCGTATTACTTCTCTTCTCTTCTGTTTTCCTGTTGCTCACTGCTGGTTAAGATCATTGCATTAAGCTCTTTGGATGTCTGCATGTACATTGTCTTGGTTATTGATCGTATTCAAAGCGTCATTATGTGAATTCTTCAAGATCTGTCATTTTGTTAGGGGTTTCCGAAATCTTTCTCAGCCGTTTAGTTTAAGTTCCTAGCATATATCACTATGATGCTTTCTCTATGGTAGAATAAGTGTGTAACTACTTCTCCATGACGGACTCGTTCTGGGGCACATGTTTGGATTCAGATCATGCTCTAGTTCGAGCTCGTATCTGCTTAAGGCTTACTGGACGTAGGAAAGACACCGTAAGAAAGCCTCTTAGGGTTTTACTTAATGATAATCAAACCAAGAAAATATTTCAGGAGCAACTAGAAAGAGAGTTAAGCAACCATGCAAGCGATTCCCATCCAGAAGCAGGTTGGTATGATATCAAAAAGGCTGTGGAAACAGCAGTGATATCTGCTAGCAAGGTTGACCATAAGGCTAGAATGAAGCCGTGGATCTCAGTAGCATCCACCGATCTGATGGATGCCCGAAAACTCATCCCACCTGGCTCTGAACATGATGAAGAGCGTAGTCAACTTAGGCGCAGACTTATAAAAAGCCTACGTAACGACCGTGAACAGTGGTGGGTGGCGAAAGCAAAAGCGATGGAAAAGGCAGCGGCGATAGGCAACAGTAGGCAACTATTTAGACTCATCAAGGAAACTGGTATTAGGAACCCAACTGTGAGTGAAACTATTTCAGAAAAGGATGGTCTTATTATCCATTCTCAATGCAGGAGACTGGATCGATGGGCAGAACACTTTAGGGATCAGTCCAATTGGCCACGAGCCACTCTTCGGTTAGCCACGATCTCCAGTCCTCCTGAATGGCAAATCGACCTAAGTCCCCCCAGTCTTAATGAAGTTGAGAAAGCGTTAGGAAATCTGAAACGAGGACGAGCTGCAGGTCCTGATAGACTGACCCCTGAGATATTTAAGGATGGTGGTCCAGTTTTAGCAGCTAGGTTGACTGAGATCTTAGGTAGAATCTGGGAACTGGACGCAATCCCATCCGACTGGTCTCAATCCTTGATTGTCCCAATCTATAAGAAAGGACAAAAGTCTTCTTGTGACAATCACAGGGGAATAAGTCTAACTAATATAGTATCTAAAATACTGGCCTCAATAATACTTCGACGCTTAACGAAAGCTCGTGAAGAGCAGACTCGAGAAAACCAGGCTGGTTTTCGACCTGGACGTGGCTGTATAGACCACGTCTTCACACTCAGACAGGTCCTGGAACATAGACACACATTTAGGCGTCCTACAATAGTTGTTTTCCTGGATCTTAAGGCGGCATTCGACTCAGTGGATCGTGAGGTTCTCTGGCAGTGTCTGTCATTGAAAGGTGTACCAAAGAAGTACATTAACCTTATACAAGCTCTTTACTCGAACACCACTGGTCGAGTGAGAGCTTATGGCGAACTGTCACCGGAATTCTCTACTTCAAGTGGTGTCCGTCAGGGTTGTCCACTTTCTCCATTCTTATTTAATTTTATCATAGACATGCTCCTAGACATAACATTATCCTCGTCTGAATTTTCAGGAGTAGACCTTCTACCAGGTGGCTCGCTTATTGACTTAGAATATGCCGATGACATTGTCCTACTTGGTGAAGACGCTGACGAAATGCAGAGTCTTCTGACTACCCTAAGCAACAATGCAAGCATGTTCGGGATGCGGTTTTCCCCCTCGAAATGCAAAATGTTGCTTCAAGACTGGGTTGCATCGGCACCTGAACTAGTGATAGGGAGTGAAGTAGTCGAACGTGTAGACCGCTTCACTTATCTTGGTAGTCTCATCAGTGCCGATGGCCTGGTGACTGACGAAATCTCCAGCACGGATACAGAAAGCTCGATTGGCTTTTGCCAACCTGCGTCACTTATGGCGTAGGCGAGATATCCGTTTGCTGACTAAAGGACGAGTGTACTGCGCAGTGGTTCGCTCCGTCTTACTTTATGGCTGTGAAACATGGCCAATGAGAGTAGAAGATACTCGTCGGTTATTGGTTTCGATCATAGATGTTTAAGAAGCATTGCTCGTATATCGTGGGACACCCGAGTGAGCAACGCTGTTATTAGGAATCGGGTGCTAGGTAAGAATGGCAGATCAATAGATGAAGTATTGAAACTTCACCAGTTGAGGTGGTTAGGACATGTGTTGCGTATGCCTAACCACCGACTGCCTCGTCGAGCCTTGTTTTGTAGTGTAGGAATAGGTTGGAAGAAAGCTAGGGGCGGCCAGACCAAAACATGGCAGAAATCCATGAAGTCATTGACTAGTGGACTGAGCCATGTCGGTAATTGTCGACTACCTGGTTGGGGTCCGCGAGATGATACTTACCGATGGTTAGAGACCTTGAATGACATGGCTCAAAATCGTTCGCAATGGCGCCGGTGCATTTATTCTTTGTGTTCTCTCAAATCCTAATCTTCTGGATTCTTCAACCCCTCTAGTTTCGACTCTCTAAACTTTTCTCACAGAATCATACCTCTTGAATAGTATCTTCTAATCCTAACCTCTCCGATTACTTCTAATTCCCTTACTACCTCTTCTACTATTGGATTTGAATTGACGATTACTTCTCTGTGCTGATGTGGTATGGCAACATGAACTGATGTGCTTACGTACGAAGTTCTACGTTGCATCTGACTGACTGACTGACTGACTGACCATGACGGACTAATTTGATAGTTTTATCCTAAAATATTCCTCTGAAGATTGTTACTTCTGTGGTTGAGCATTGATTCTTGAAAAAGATAAGTTCTAGCTGTAGAAAGGACGCTGAAGTTCTCTATCGAACATCAACCAACGGCCGCAATCGTTCTTTGCTGAGATCGGCGACCGAATAGTATCTTTGTTTGTGCTTTAGATTTGATATTTGCCATGAATAAACAGTTGTATTAAAAGATTAACACTATCCGTTTACTGTTAATGTTGTTGGAAGTTTTTCCCAAAACTCTTTGAGCTTGACTTGCTTAAGTGAGTGTTAAAATCATACTGCCAATTTCTGACAGGTTAATCCTATCCTTTTTGTGGGGGGGGGCTTAAAAATGTTTTATTTTTACACTGATTTATAACCGCAAAAATCTTATCTTAACAAGTTAGAAATATATATCAAATCACTTAGTTTTAGTGTAAATCTCACCAGTACACATATTCATGCACCTATGCTCTAAAACGCACCACTCACCCGCTGATCCGGTCTTCTATGTGGATTTTATTGTCATCACTGCGCAAAAGCCTATCACACATTAATGTGTATTTATTTAAGATATTAACATTGGTACGAATAAGCCCCTGAATATCTATGCGTATACAAGTCATTGAGTTCA